CAAAGTTGGAGGAAACATCCACATGGGAGTCTGTTCAACAAAATGGCAGTTCTAAACATAGCATTTCTTTATATGCCATCTATGACTAGCCCTTTAAAGGCTGACAATGCTTTTTTACTTTGATGACTGCCTAGGCATGTGGCATTTATGGGTAGTATTTAGAGAAGAGAGGTTGGTTCAACTGCTTGAAAATCCACTTTCATTCTTGACAATGGTCATGGTATCATGATTCATGGATAATAAAGAAAAGGAATCTGTGGAGGGACATGATTGCATAAAGAAGTCATAACATGTCAACAATGAAGTCCTTTTTTTCTGTAAAGACATTAGGTGATGAGAAAGCAGAGAATTCATGATATTCCAAATGGATTAGTGCTAAAAGACACACAAGAAAACTAACATACTAGTCCCCTTAGTAATATTAAAACATATAAAACAGTGCAAGACTAATACCTAAATACCCTTATCAGACACACTAGTGTCCTGATAACCCCAGAATTAAGTGTGTGTGTGTGTGTGTGTATATATATATATATATATATATATATATATTTGTGTATTTAGGCAGCAATCCTTCTTTCATGCACATTGCAATGAATCTGACAGACAAGGTGCTTTTATTCAGTTTTTTATACAATTTCTCATGCGATCTAATAATTTTTTTTCATTTCGGGTGATAAATTATATATTATATATTCGTAACATACTTGTTGACAACACTAATATAATAGCATCATCTACATGCAAAAATAAAAATAATGGAAGCCTTATTAATGAAAAAAAAAAAAAAAAACAACACTTAATAATATTAACTTTGAACATGGACATAATATCTTGACCATGTTTTGAAAAAATGAAAACATTTTATAAAACATACATACAACAAACTATTTCTTATTTAAAAGTTAAAATATTTAATCCTTGAAAATGGCTAAATGTATAGCTGAAAGTGCTCAGATAAAAAGAACATTTGGACAGTTTTTATATAATTTATCACCTAAAAAGATAAAAATTATTAGATTGCATGAGAAATTGTATAAAAAACTAAATAAAAGCACCTTGTCTGCTGTATTCAATGAAATGTGCATATATATATATATATATATATATATATATATATATATATATATGATTAAATTATGATAAAAAAAAAAAAATCTAAATATATAAAATAGTACAAGATCAACACCAAAACAAACCTGTTTGACACACTAGTCCCCTGATGGCTACAGAATGAAATATATATTATTATAAATGATTCAATCATAATTACAAATCAAATAATGTTAAAATATATAAAAAAAGACAAACGTGGCTTAGAGTTGCAAAAGATAGGAAGCTGTGGAGAGTCATATCACCCATGTCCTGAAGGCATATGGCACATTATAGCTGTTCTGTTTGGACTTTTGGTAAATAATTTCCAAGTTATAATACCAGTGGTATTCAATTGTTGTGTTTGAGTACTGGAGACCCATACTCAATATACTAGTACTAAATTAAATGTTACTATTACTAGACTAAACATGTCTATTTTCTACAACTGGTACCCTGATGACCCTAGAAAGAAGTATATATGATTATAAATTATGACTACAAATCAAATAATGTTAAAATATATAAAACAGGACTAAAACATAGTTTGACACACTATTCCTCAGATGAGCCCATGAATAAATATATATTATTATGAATGATTAAATTATGATTAAAAATCAAAATAATGATAAAATTTAAAAACCAACATATAACAAATTATATAATTCATATTTCTACAACTAGTAACTTAAAAAAAAAAAAATAGTAAATGAAATTCTAAATTATGATAAATTATTTATAATTATTTACAGGTGAAGTTTTCTTCATTTTACATTTCGTAAAATTCAGAGCTGATATTTCTGATCAAGCACAATTTTTCTCTAAAAACCACTTGCATCTTATACTACTTTTTTCGACTATATAAGGCCCAATTTATAAAACAAAATACTCTAACACTCACCTTGCATCTTGTGCTATTATGGTTGGGTTACTAGTACTAGACGAAATATGTCTATTTGATACAACTGGTCCGCTGATGATCCCAGAGCTAAATATATATGATTATAAATGATTAAATTATGATTAAAAATCAAAAACAGTACAAGACCAACACCTAAACACTGCTACTTGACAAACAATTTCTTTGGTGATTTGAGAATGAATTATATATTATAATAAATGATTAAATTGGGATTACAAATCAAAATAATGCTAAAATATATAAAACAGTACTAAACAAATGCCTATTTCACATACTAGCCTCTCTGATTACCCCAGAATGAAATATAATGGAGTACTACTGCCACATATGGCCAGGAGCTGCCATCTTAACTTTCCAGTCTTGATACAGTCCAAAAGTATTTCCATAGTCTTGGAATTGTTTACCACCTTACAACCTCTTTTCCAAAGATGAAATGTTGTAAGCATCTGGCTACTCTATCGCTATTTCCTTGAAAAGTGTTCACATGAACTACATTCCTTAGTTCCACCCAGTCTAACCTTCACAGCTAAAACCCTCCCTGCCTCCACATTGCAGCAAACCACCCCCATTCCCTTTGCATTGCTCTGGTGAGATTTAAGTTCCACTTGAACAGCTTCTTCCCACAAACCAACTGCTGATTTGTGGAACCAACTCCCAAGAGGATGTTTTCCCAATCCCAACCTGTTTGAGTCAAGGGTTAACCATCATCTTACCCCTCATATGCCTATAAACAGTGACTCTTACTCTGAAACACACTCCCTAAAATGATTCTTGGGCAATAGGGTGAACATTATTATAAAAATAAATATATGATTATAAATGACTAAATTATAATTAACAATGAAAATAATGTTAGTATATTAAAATATGACACGATATATAAAATAGATCATTTGTCATTTAGATTTTGTCTAAATATTCCTAACCAAATTAGGTGTATGTTGGGCAATGCTTAACTTTCATGCAAAAAGCCAGTTATTCCTTTGATGCCTTTATTACTGTATACACTTTTCATTCCAACACAACTATTTACTCCTGCCTTAATAATAAATCTGATCAGATCAATAAGATCATATTAGCAGATGATCTCAAAAATGACTTACAATCTGCTGTTAACTCTGGCAAGAAATGGCTTGTTAATTTTAAAGTCTTCATAATGAAACTGCTCTCTATTAATCATCTGAGAGAACCCTTTCTGCCTTCCATCAGCATGGCTGTTGCTAACCTCCTGGAGATTGACTCATTGAGCCTTCTCCATTTAATTTTTTCTGCTGACATGAAGTGGAAAGATTATATTGACTCAACTTCTAGGCCTACTGATAGAAATATTGGTTCACTGTGTTGTGCTAAACAATTTTATTCACTATAATCTATCTTACATATTTATAAATCTACCATTCATCCAGGCTTTGAATATTGTTGCCATATATGGTCTGATTCTCCTGCTATATATTTAGAGATCATTGATAAAATCCAAAGAAAAATTTGCAATGTCATTGGTCCTGATCTGGTATTTTGGCTCCAGTCACTTTATCAACTGCCATTATATAGCTTCCCTGTGACTTTTCTATAACTTCTTTCATGGTAATTGTTCAGATGAACTTTCCTCTATGTACATATGGAAACTAGTTAGGACTTCATAGAGACTCTGAGGTATTATGGTAGCTGTAGTAAGAATGGTAAGTAAGAGGGCTTGGAAAATTTGATACAGATTGTTAAATTTAATGCTTCCAAGAATAAAAGTGCTCTCTATTAATTGTCTGAGAGAACTCTTTCTGCCTTCCATCAGCATGGCTAATGCTAACCTCCTGAAGACAGACTCATTGCACCTTCTTGGGCTAATGTTTTTCACTGTGTTTGTAGTGTCTGTTCTGTGTCGAGGCCTTTTTCTCGTCCTCCTGCTACAGACAGAATCCTTAGATCTATTTTGTAGTGTGGTTTCTTGACTGGCTATGACTAGAAAAGACCAGTGGCCCAAGTGGTGTTCCCCACGTTAAAACAAACTGACCTTGTGTCACATCTTGACTCAGTGGGGAGTCAAAGGTAAATACAGACATGGAGTGGAAAGATTATATTGAATCAATTGCTAGGTCTTGTGCTAAGAAAGTTGTTTTTTTTGTGTAATGCTAGATAATTATTTGAAGGCTAAACATTGCCAAACTGTTTTATTTTTCTTCTGACATAACCTGAAGATTTTCAAGTACACAAAACACTTTACTGCATAAATTTGTGAATAGAAAAACTGCCTTTAGTGACAAAGTAAAAATAAAATGTTCTTGGTACTTCACAGACTCAATGATTCCTTATTTGCTGGTAAAAATGACTGCAAAATTCCGTGGCTGTTGATAAAGTCACAGGAAAAAAGTTACAGAAAAAAGTCACAATTTTGGCTAGGAAAAAAGTCACAACTTGGTTTTGTGAGTAACATGTTTGGTATGCATGAACCCATTGTAGCAGACTTTTGAACCACGTTTATTACTGTCAATAATTCCCATAGCAGGAGGCATAAAAATTTAATTTTTTGCTAAAAACAACATATTTTACTAAATTCAAATATTGTTGATCTGCAATAGCACAGAAATCCGAGATTGTCACCATTCATGCTGTCTTCAGGGTCAGGGGTATGGTTAAAAAAGCCTATTAAAGAAAGACATAGAAACATTGTCCTGTGACATTTTTTTTTTTTCTGTGACATGTTTTTTCTGTGACTTTTTTTACTGGATTCCAATATTCTCCTGTGAAAAAAACTGAATAAAAAACAAATCATGAAAAATGTGATAAAAACAATTAAAATGAGGATAACAGTACAAATAATTCATCATGTAATGATGACGCTTCATTCCCCAAATTCAGACATCAAAAACTCTGCTCATTAAAGAGTAATAAAAAGAAAAAGTCAAAAATGCCAGGTTGAGGATGCTTGTGAGTAGCAAGAATTAATGATTAACTCTTACTGTTTTCTTTTTCTTGGTGAATTTAAGACACTTTTGTGTTTAGAAAAAAGTAAGGTAAATAAGAATTGAGAAAGAGAGAAAGAGAAAATATAGAGAGAGGAGTAGAGAAAGAAAAGGGAATAGAGAGCTGAAAGGGAGGGCGAAGAGAAGGAAAGAAAGAGAAGCAAACAGAGAGAGAAAGGCATAGATATAAATAAAGGGTGAGATAAAGAAAGAAGTGAAAGAGAGATAGAGCCAATGATAGAGGAAGGCATGGAAAGAAAGTGATGAAGAGAAAGAAAGGGAATATGGAGGATAGAGTGTTGGAGGGAAAGAAAGAAAAAGAGTTATAGATATAGAGATATAGATATTTTGGTGAGAAGAGGGAAGATGGTACAATGAGAGAGGAAGGCATAGAGAGAGAGAGGAAGGCATAGAGAGAGAGAGGATAGAGAGAGAGAGAGGAAGGCATAGAGAGAGAGAGAGAAATGAAAACAGAGAGGAGAAGGTAGGGAATGAAATAGAGGGTCATAGATATAGAGGAAGAGGTGAGATAGAGAGTAGAGGAGATAGGAGGAGAGAGAGAGAGTGGTGAAGAAAGACAAATTGAAGAAGGGAAAGAGAGAAAGTGAGAGAGGAAAAAACAGAAAGAAATGAGGACAAAGATAGATAGAAAGAAAGAAGAAAAAGTGTTGGAGAAGCTTTATTTACACTAACTAAATTTTCAAACCTCCTCATTTCCTTATCATCGGTAAAATCTGACCCCTCGGGCTGGTTAGCAGCAGGAACTTAATTATTTTTACTTTAGCAAATTTTATTTATTTAGTAAAGTCAACAAGTGGCACTTTGTTTCTTTTTATAAGTAAATTTCATTGTTTAAACTGATATTCTCAAAAAAAAAAAAAAAAAAAAAAAATACCCTTTTCCCCCCATTGTAATTATTCCTTTTTATACATATATATATATATATATATATATATATATATGATAAAAATATAGTTTTAAGGTATGCTATATTTATGGGTAAAAGTTCTCAATGTCAAAGATAGAGCATCTGCAAATATAAAAATGGAAACACAAGCTTCAGACCATGTGTGTTTGTTTTAGCTTTACTCTATATGCTGGTTAATGGTGTATTATGGGTAGAAGGTCTACTGTATTATCTTAATGAATATTGGCTGGGTGATTATGGTTATATCTCAAATTATTCTAGAGGCTATTGAGTGGAAATAATTGTGGATCTGAATGCGGTTATTTGTAGCTATTTTATAGTGTTGTTAACTTTTTTACTCATTATTTATTATGATATTATTTGTTGTTGATTATTATAATTATTATTGCATTTAATTGTGTTTATGCATGTATTCATAGTTTGTTATTTTGTTTATTATTTACTTAATTTATATATATTTTTATGTTTATTTTAATTTTTTTTGGTGTGGGAGGGTATCTTATTTGTTTTGTTAAAAGCATTGGCCTGGAGAGTTGCATTCAAGCATGAAACAAACTTTCGGCACTTGGTGTTGACCCCAGTGTCCACTTATATATATATATATATATATATATATATATAGCCTTTCTCTATCACTTGTAATGTTCATATTCTTTTTTTGAGAGGGAACGATAACAGGGTTTATCACTTTTTTTTTTCAGATTTCATAATTATGGGGGGGTGTAAACAATAAAAAAAACAAAAAATAGAAAAAATGCAAAGAAAAATTATTTTGCAGAAAATTGCAAAATATATATATATATATATATATATATATATATATATATATATATATATATATGCACACTCAGACAGTGCATAAAGTTTATTGCCTAAACTTTATGCATATCTTAGGTCATTAAACAAACTTAAAAATTAGTTAAAATTTTCCAGTTTGTTCTGTTTTACCAACAACACAAGGCTCAACATCATATAATGAGAGAAAAAAATAATCACACAGTAGTATTTGTAAAATAGAATATCCTTCTAGGGACTGGAAGTCATGGGGCTCCAAAGCTTTCTTATGTTAAACATTACCACTGTCCATTTCAAAGTTTGTTTACCTGTGTTCTTTTCCTGTTCAGTCATTTTTTTTTTGTTTTCTTAATATGGTTACTCATCTTGTATTGGTTGAACCAAACATAGATTAACTTTGGTGATTAAGGATTAAAAAAAAAAAAAAAAAAAAAATCACTGTACACTTACACATTCAAATCCATACATACGCATAGCACTTGAAATATCACCAGTTAAGAAATGCAGCGTTTTTGATTGAAAATATTTTAACCTGTCAGGTGGTGATAGCTGAATTTCCTGATTATATCCAGGAATAATTCCCAGCCAGTAATACTTATTTTTGGTAAGTATATTAAAAATGTAAGAAAAAAAAAACTCCATAAAATGTTCCAATAAAATGTTCCGACCCCCAATCCCGCCATTGACAACCAATTAAAAATAAATGGTGACCATTTTTAAAAAAAAAAAAAAAAAAATTTTTTTTTTCCATTAATATTAAATTGTATCACTGACCAGTGGTCAAACTTGGTGAGCAACAACATTCTGAGTTTGTTCTATCAATGATGGTGAGTCAACTGTGTTTGGTTCGTGAATATGATAATGGGATGAATAGGAAGATTGGTCAACCTGTCTGGAGTATGGCAGCTGGTCAACCTCTTTTGAGTATGGACTTTGGTCAGCCTGCTTTGAATATGGAATCTGGTCAGCCTGCTGAGAGTTTTCTAAGTTTTGCTCAGAATTTGGAATAATTGGCTGAGACACTGGAATTGGGCTCCTTGTCTCTTGCTTGCGACTTCCTCGTGAATAGGTTCCATAAGGGTTGCCATCCATCATGACAGGTTTCACCCCAGGCCATTCTCGGCAGTTCATGGCTGGGCTGGCATTTGGTTTGTACAAATACCTTGGCAGAGTGCTTGTGTCAAATGCCTGATGCACTGGCTTCATATGTGGGCTGTGGACATGATACGACACTGATGGATTCAGCTTGCAGTGAACTGATGAATTCAAATCTGTTAAAAAGAAAAAAAAAAGAGAACTGGGTATAAATAAAAGATGTGTGGTAAGGTTAGATTTATAAGAGCAAATATGACTATGGAATAAAGAATAACTACAGTATATTTTCATGTATAAGGTTACCTTTAGATAAGATGAGATTAAAAAATATAGCAAATTTTCATGAATTTGTCCTATACTTGTAGTATAAGATGACTACTTATTGATCATATAAAGATGATGTTATTGGAAATGTTATTTACTGTATCCTTAGAAATTCAAATTAAATGAAATAACAAAACTGATTCTATATCATGTTTTTCCTACACACGTCCCCTAAAAAGGGGACCATTGTTTTTTTGTTTTTTTACATTTCATCATGTGATCTCTTGCAAATAATCTTCTCCTTTTCCCATACCTAAACAGTTACAAACAGCCTGGTGTACTAATGGTCATTTACTTATACTTCATTGACAATCACAAAATATCACTGACAATGCATGATAATAGTACATCCAGTTTCAACATTTTTTTATTCACAATCATAACTTGATGTTTACATTTTCTCAGCTGAGCTTGCATGGATACAAGTTGATTTCATTGATTTGGAATTATTCTTTGAATAGACAATTTATTATGAAGTTATGCCAGTAATATATAAGGTAGGAATGGTTTTATTACTTTTATTATTAGTTTATTTGATAATGTGAAACTTTCCATGTATGTTATTGATTATTGCACTGAGGCCGAGGTTAGCCTACCGACAAACATCACTGAGAATTTTAGGTTTCTTTTTCAGAATTGTAGTATAAGGGTGATTTGAGGGATTTAAAAGTCCTCTTATATGCTGAAATATATGGTATTATTAAAAGAAATGTTCGTAAGACAGGGATTTGGCTCACAAGAAGGGAGGATAGAAGTGTTTAATATTTCTTGTCAATATCCCATAAATAATGAACTATTCTGTTTTGAGTGTGTAGAAAAACAAGACATATGAATGAAAAAAGGGAAGATACAAGTGTTTGAAGTCTGTTGCAATGAAATGGAAAATAGTTGTCCTCTATATCTAAACAGTTACAAACAGCCTGGTGTACTAATAGCCATTTACTTATACTTTATCAACAATCACAAAATACTACTAACAGTATGATAGTGTATGATAATAGTACATTCCATTGCTTTGAATGAAATCTTAACTCAATGTTTACATTTTCTCAGCTAAGCTTGCATGGATACAAGTTGATTTCATTTATATGGAATTATTCTTCAAATAGGCAATTTATTATGAACTTATACCAGTAATATATAAGGTAGAAATGGTTTTATTACTTTTATTATCAATTTATTAGATAATGTGAATCTTTTCATGTATGTTATTGGTTAATGCACTGAGGCCGAGGTTAGCCTACGAATAAACATCACTCAGAATTTTAGATTTCTGTTTTAGAATTGTAGTACAAGATGGACCCCTAATTTTTAAGGGTGATTTTTGGGATTTAAATGTAGAAATACACGGTAATTTTGTACCTGTTACTCTGCTGACAGCAAGATGACCAAATTTCAAATCTAAATTTCTTGTCCATTTAAAATATTATTAGAAAATATATTCAGTTTAAATACAAAAGTCATTTATTTGAACTGCCATACTCACTTGCAAAGAAATAATTATTCATACAGTCCAAAACATGTTTTGGCTGATAAGCCATAAAAAACAAATTTGGGTTGATGAAAAACAAAGCAATCAAATGTCAATCAAATATTGATGATCTACAAGCATGGATGCCTAAATTGACAATCTCTGCTTATCTTAAAAAGTAGCTCCAAAAGTCATCATCAAAGGATTCTAGTATCTTCAGTGGATTTCAAAAACAATACTCCATGGATACAGAGTTTAATACTCACTAAGTGCCACAGTGCTACACACTTGTAATTTTTTATTATATTGGAAGGAAAATAGCATGTATTTTTATTATGCAATATAGAAGGATGATCCAATGTTAACATAAATAGTGTGTATTTTTATTTTCTAATATTATAGGAAGGAAAATACTTCTGTTAATACCACTTGTGTGTACTTTTAATATGTAAATTTATAGAAGACACATTACATTAACATTAATTTATAGAAGACACATTAACATTAATAGTGTGTATTTTTATTTTTTAATATTATAGAAGACATCAACGTTAACATAAATAGTGTGTATTTTTATTTTGTAATATTATAGGAAGGAAAATACCTCAATTAACCCCCAAAATATGTATTTATATTATATAATATTATAAAAGGAAAACACCTCCATTAACATAAATAGTGTGTATTTTTATTTTGTAATATTATAGGATAAAAGACACCTCACCTACCATCAACAGAATGCATTTTTATCATGTAACATTATAGAAAACAAGAGAATTGTTAAACAAGGTTATCTTACAGACTATTCCTATTCTAATGTGTTTGACTCTCACCAGGTGCCACACTGTTGTTGTATAAGCTTAAGAAATACTGGACACCTCACCATAGAGCAGTGGTTAACAAGCTATTTTCACAATCATTACTACTGTAGTGAGTTTGCTTCTCACTGGGTTTTCCACACTTGCCGCTTTGTGCTGCACTAGGATGACGTAACTGCTGAGAAAGAGGAAGAAATCTTTCTCAGATAACAGAAATATTTTTCATGGTACACAGAATACAATTCATAGAGGCCATTCCTCTCAATAGCATCATTACAGTGTGGGTGGGAGGATGTGTGTAAGAGAGGGCACATATGCTTAATCTCACCCCTCAATCCTAATGGAATGTTGTCGCACTCTAAAGAGGAAACAGCTGACGTAAAATTTTCAGTGCTATTTCCTTCGTATCCTCTTGGTCATTTACTGGTCAGACACTATACAAGAGCATGCAAAAATTATGGGTTTGGGTAAGAATATTTTAGCACCCTTCCATATAAATTCCAGAGATAAGATTGATTTGTTTTATACAACTTTGCAGGTTATTTAAAGACCCTAAATGTTTCCAGATTGTAAAAATTTTTGATAGATAATAATGCTTCAGTGATGTGAGTTTTACTAATTAACCAATAGAGGTAGATTTAGACCATTCCCAATGGTATTTGCCTGTAAGTGAATATAACAAAACCAACTGGACTTGGAACTAAAATTCATATATATATATATATATATATATACACACACACAACTATAAATGAAATAAACATCATGGTCTTTTAAAGTCTTGGATTTCATGATAATTATTAATTTTTTTTATATATATATATATATATATACACACATACACAGCAATAAATGAACAACCTGATCATGATCTTTTAAAGTCTTTGTTTTCATGATAATTATTAATTTTTAAATATATATTATAAAAATGACAGAATGAAACTATAGATACCACAACATATATACTGAAAGAGTATTTACGCATAAATAAATATAACAAACCCAACTAGAATTGAAACTTCCAATTTCTAGCCATTATCCATTACACCACCTGCACATCCAAGCTTACAGCACCTTGTATTCCCAAGTGGTCACTCCATCTAGGTACAGACCAGGCTTGACATTGTTTAACTTCAGTGATTGTACAGGAACCCGTGTTTTCAGAGATAAGTCACAGATATGTACAGTCTGAAAATTTCTAATAATTATCAGCTCATAAATAAATGTCTGACATGACATTTTAAAGGTTAAAATATCACATTTATCATGGATGAAATAAGTTATTTTCTAAAGGAGAAATATCACATTAAGGATGCTGTGAATAACCTGGACTGAACATGTGAACAACAACAAAGTTTTAGAAACAAAAAGGAAACTTATACTTAACATCAGGAAGAGACAGTTGAAATTTCTAGGGGACATAATGAGGAAAGAGGGCTTGGAAAAACTGATACTCACAGGACAGATTGAAAGCAAGAGAGACAAAGGAAAATGATGCATAATATTTGTTGTCCAGAATGATAATGATATTTCATCATTCATTTTATTGTTATCGTTGTACATTTTAAATTCTGTTATTAATATCAATCCCATTACAGTCGACAAATAATAACAATGGCGTTGGGGGGAGGGAATAATATACCAACATCCAACATACCCACCCTGTTACACATACTTACTGAGATGGCAGAACAGGGTTTAGGAGAAATAAAAAAAAAGACAAAATTTATTAAGAGCTGCAAAAGACAGGAAATTGTGGAGAGCCATTATCACCTACATCCTGAGGGGACATGGTGCATAAAGAGGAAGAATTAAAACCATATCCTACTTTTAATTTTTAAAATTAATGTCAGATTTTAGAATGGATATTGATGGGTTATGGATGAAATATTAACATTTTCTGTTTGTGAAATAAATTGCAATCAATTACAGAGCAAATATGGATTAGAATCAACAGAATGATAGAATAAAGAACAAAAGAATAACTTTTTAATGGTTTTTAAGAGCAAAATGGTATAAGATTTTTTAAGAGCAAAATAGTATAAGATTTTTTAAGAGCAAAATGGTATAAGATTTTTTAAGAGCAAAATAGGATTTATAAAACAAAAATGGTATAAGATTTTTTTTAAAATGGTATAAGATTTTTTAAAGCAAAATAGTATATAAGATTTTTAAGAGCAAAAGTATTTTTTAAGAGCAAAATAGTATAAGATTTTTTAAGAGCAAAATGGTATAAGATTTTTTATGAGCAAAATGGTATAAGATTTTTTAAGAGCAAAATAGTATAAGATTTTTTATGAGTAAAATATAACATTTTTTTCAAGGTTGAAATAAAACATTTTTTAGCAAGCGAAATAAAACCCTTTTTAAGCATTGAAATATTACACATTTTATGGTTAAAATATTTTTCACGTTTAAATATAACATTTCTAAAGGTTGTAATATAAGTTTTTTTAAAGTTGAAAGATTACATTTTTAAGGTTAAAATATAAGATTTTTAAGAATATTTTTGGTATATGACATTTTTAAAGGTTGTAATATAACATTTTTAAGATTGAAATAT